TGGCGCCGGATTTCTGCTATTAATAACAATTCTACTCATTCCGCGCTTATAACACGATGACAGAACGTATAATTTGCACGTGCTTTTGAGTCTTGAGAACTCACTCGCGCACTCTCATTTTCTGTGTGCCCACAGATCGCGATAAGGAAAGTGACACTTTTAATAGTTATTAAGGGAGTTTGCAAATGTGATGTTTATTGAACTGTTGTTTTAAATCAATAAGTACTGCCTTATTTTGCTCTATTTCTTCAACGAAAATAGTTCCAAATATAGTAACAGCTCAGCCGCTGCACTATTCTAAAAGCAAACACAATTCAGTCAATGAAAGTGTGTTTTTGAACGAATCTAGTGAGTCAGTGATTCATGATTACCCATTCATAAAGACAGTCACTTGCTTCATTCCTGAATGAATCAGCTGTTCGAACGAATCAATTGAATGAATGATTCAGTGATGACATTAGTGACTTGCCGCCACCTGCTGGCAGATTTAGTTTCATTTTTAGCGTATAATTTCAGTTATTTAAAGGAACACTCCACTATTTTTTGAAAATGGGCTCATTTTCCAACTCCCCCTAGAGTTAAACAGTTTAGTTTTACCATTTTCGAATCCATTCAGCCGATCTCCGAGTCTGGCGGTAGCACTTTTAGCTCTAGCTTACCATAGATAATTGAATCTGATTAGACCGTTAGCATCTCGCTCAAAAATGACCAAAGAATATCTATATTTTTCCTATTTATACTACTTGACTCTTCTGTTGTTACATCGTGTACTAAGACTGACGGGAAATGAAAAGTTGCTATTTTGTAGGCTGATATGGCTAGGAACTATACTCTCATTCCGGCGTAATAATCAAGGAACTTTGCTGCCGTACCATGGGTGCAACAGGCCCAATGATATTACGCAGCGCCTGAAAATAGGCTAACTTCCGTCAACATAACCAACGGTACACACATGTAACACATCAATACCTACAAAAAAGTCTCCTGGTACGAAATCCGAATCCCAACAGGAAGTCGGTTATTTTGAATTTTCTCTGCAGAATTTGTCGCTTTTGCCATTTCCAGGGGTTGTACTTGAACTCATCATAGAGATTTATTCAGATCAAAACCAAAGTTGGTTAGTGTAATCTAAAGGCCTTTGCGATTGTTAAATTGCGAAGATCTTGAGTTTTCGTTGACGGGCGTGTCCGTGGCGGCCTAACAAATTTCGATGTTTCGCCATGAAAAGGAAGTTGCTATAACTCAGACATACAATGTCCAATCTGCCCCAAACTTCACATGTTTGATAATAGTCCTGACCTGAACGGATCTACATATCCATATTCATTTATAGTCATAGCGCCACCTGCTGACAACAGGAAGTTACATGTTTTACGCTTTAACGAACTACTAGAAATGTAATGACATTAAAAAATGTTTTTGGTCAGTCTAATCTAAAGGTCTTTGCGATTGTTAAATTGTGAAGATCTTGAGTTTTCATTAAAGAATGTGTCCATGGCGCCGTGGCAAATTTCAATGTCTAGCCATGGGAATAAAAGTTTTTGTAACTCGGGCATAAAATGTCCGATCTTCCCCAAACTTCACATGTTTGATAAGAGTCCTGGCCTGAACACATCTGAAGGCCAATATTCCATTATAATCATAGCACCACATGCTGGCAACAGGAAATGGCTTGTTTTTCACTAACTTAAACATGCAATGTCCGATCTGCACCAAACGTCACATATTTGGAAAGAGTTATGGCCTGAAGACATCTAAAGGCCAATATTCAGTTATAATCATAGCGCCACCTGTTGGCAATAGGACACATCATGCTTTATACTAACTCAAACATACCATGTTCAATCTGCACCAAATTTCATATGTTTGATAAAAGTGCTAGACTGAAAAAATCTACATGCCAAAATCCAGTTATAGTCATAGCGCCACCAGCTGGCAGCAGGAAGATTGGCACATATAAATGACTTTGACATATTCCTGCTATATTTACCACTTTAAATGCATATTGCTCGCCGTTCGCTGTTTTGCTAAAGCCACCCCCTGGCGGTGAGCCCGGGTGCAAGGGCCCGTTCATCGCTGCTTGCAGCTTTAATTTAATTTGTATCTTGATGTTTTTTTTGTTTGTGCTATTGATTGTCATTAATTTATTTGTTATTTTATTATTTACTATTTACTTGTCTTTTTTTTTTTTTTTTGTTAAAATTAATTAAATTCTGAGTGCACCTGATTCTTGGGTGGGGAGGGGGCGTGGTCCATGAGAAATAGTCCTGCCACCACAGCTGGAAAAAATCCTAGGAAACCGTGCATACATTTTAATAAAATTAGAAAAATGCCATTACAAAGGTAAAAAGAACGTCACTGTAAATCACTTTGAGTCAAATGTCACCTCATATTAGGAAGGCAAATTTTTGATCAGAAGGTGCTCCTAAATTTTTTAAAGGTGACATATCATGAAAATCTGACTTTTCCAGGTTTTAAGTGCTAGGACTCTTCATGCTACTCCAACGAATGATTGATATCATTACCTTCCTCGTGTACTTACCTCCTGTGTTCTACTCCAACGCCTGTGTCCTCCTACGTCTCCGGGAACACCCCTCCAGTCCTTACTACGGTGAGTTGTGTGCCACCTTCCATTCCACCATCTGCTCTTCCACGGACTCCTGCAAGGGCAAGCATACTCATTCCCACACCTCAATTACAATTGAACATTTCCATTTGAACTGCTTACTCAACTACCAGTCTACCACCAGCATCTGTTGCTGTTCAATCAATAAACCTCCTCTGTAATTCCTAACCTTTTGTGTGAGTCTCCTTCCATAACAATATTAGGAAGGATAATTTTTTATCAGAATTTTTTATTATTGATCAGAAGGTGCTCTTACATTTTTTCAAATTAGGAGGAGAAGAGCTCCTAAAAAGAAAAGTAAGCATAGAGCCATGTGTAACAGTATATTACAGTAGATCTGTGCATGAGGTCTTAAAGAGACAGCAGCCTAAATAAACCTCCTGCTGCCTTTCATTATACAGTGAAGACTATCCAGTGTTATTTTACAGTTTAATAGATTACAGTTAGACCTACCTGAAAAATGTATGTCCTGTTAATTTAATTTGTATCTTGTTATTGTTTTTGTTTGTGCTATTGCCTATCATTCATTTATTTGTTCTTATTTTATTATTTACTTGTCTTTGTTAGTTAAAATTAATTAAATTCTGAGTGCACCTGATTCTTGGGTGGGGAGGGGGCGTGGTCCATGAGAAATAGTCCTGCCACCACAGCTGGAAAAAATCCTAGGAAACCGTGCATACATTTTAATAAAATTAGAAAAATGCCATTACAAAGGTAAAAAGAACGTCACTGTAAATCACTTTGAGTCAAATGTCACCTCATATTAGGAAGGCAAATTTTTGATCAGAAGGTGCTCCTAAATTTTTTAAAGGTGACATATCATGAAAATCTGACTTTTCCAGGTTTTAAGTGCTATAATCAGGTCCCCGGTGCATCTACCAACCAAGGAAACATGAAAAAGATTAACCCAGTAACTTTGTTTTGGTAAGCCTTTTTCTGCAAGCGTCTAAGAAAACGAGCGCGTCCGATTTCGCTCCCTTGGTGACTTGGTAAAGGGATCTCATTATAATATTACCGCCCCATAATCTGTAAGTTTCCAACCACGGCGCCATCGTGTTTTCGCAAGCGATACGGTATACCAGCTCTAATGCCATGGCGAAAGTTTGAGCAAAACATGGTAACTGTTCTGTCTTTGGCTGCACAGATGAGCACAGAACACTATTTAGAGTCCCAGCCTCAGAGGAGACAGAGAGCAGAGGATTTAATGATTTATATACTGTATATTGCTGCTGCCACACAAATCTAAAATAAACAAGCAATTTATTTCCCAGCTGTTTACCTTCACAGACATAACCGACTGTTTTTGTAACTCGTGCGTGTTTTAACGTAAACTTGTGTGTGAATGAGAACTTAGTTTAGTACTCACATGCTGTGACAGCCACTTTCTGTCCGTCTGCTTCAGATGTGTGCACTCAGAAAACCATATATCAGAAGTTAAAACTCATGGTTTAAAACGCATGACTTCAGTGCGATAAACATGATAATCGGAACCAAAATGGATGTTTTTAGCAGGTACGAGCTGTAATGATGCAGCTCTATTCTGGAAAAAGTGGGTGGGGAGCAGCAGCTCATTTGCGTTTAAAGAGGGAGGCCCGAAAAACAGCGTGTTTCTGCTTCCACTCAAAATAGGCATTTTCAAAATGATACCCGATAATAAATGATCTGTGGAGTATTTTGAGCTGAAACTTCAAAGACACATTCTGGGGACACCAGAGACTTATATTACATATTGTAAAAAGGGGCATAATATGTCTCCTTTAAATTAGGAGGACAAGCGCTCCTAATTACAAGAAAACACTGCTCTTAAACTGGGTGTGTGACAGGTGTGGCAGTGGAATGGGGTTTGGCTGAGGAAAAATTCTGTCAAAATATTTTTTTTTGCTTTAACCCCTGTTAGTGTCACATGATCCCTCAGAAGTCATTGTAATATTGCTAATTTGGTGCTCAAGATACATTTGTTGTTGTTGAAAACAGTCGTCTTTGTGAATACATTCTTTTAGAGCAAAGTCCAATAGAACAGCTTTTATTTGAAATGTATGTTTTAAAACAAATCTTTACTGTCACTTTTGATCAGTTTAATGTGTCCTTGCTTAAAAGTATTAATTACTTTTTTGTTTTTATAAAAAAGCTGTCAACTTTTGAATGGTAGTATGTAGAAAATGTTTTCGCATGTGCTTTTGTGACGTTAGTCTACTTTTCAAGTTGACTATGTAAGCTGTAGGTCAATGCAAGTTGTTTTAATTTTACTTTTTTTCTCTCTTTTGTAATATAAATTTTGTTGCATATTGTTCATTATATAATATTTTAGTTTTCAGAAGAAAAGTAAAGGTTATTGCTGTGCATTTATCAGAACCTGCTTTGTTTTGCTTTCTAGGCGGTTTATATGATGCCTACTGAGGGAGATGATTCCTCTAAAAGCGTTCCCCTCGCCCTGCAGAGGGTGTTCTATGAGCTCCAACACAGTGATAAGCCTGTTGGGACAAAGAAGCTGACGAAGTCTTTTGGGTAGGTTTTGTTTTGAATGTTCAGTTTACAAGCAATATGAATCAGGCACTGACACATGACCCGTCTGCCAGTTGACATTCTTGTGCGAGATGTGAAATGTGAGTTTCATGTTGTTCCTTGTCATTAAATGTTTTGTGATCAGTTGTTGATATTCTGTTTAATTTTTCTGTTTAATAGTTTAATTAAGGGGCATTTGACCTAAATGTTATGCTGGCAGATCAGAGACTTGAGTTTGTTTTTGGGTGCTAATGCCATTGTATAAATATTCATAGTCAGTCATGTGACT